ACCCTGGTTCACCCTGACATCTACTGAGAGGGCAATACAGCAGTGGGCAGGCAATCCAGGAAGTTTTTGGAGAGTGTTGGGGACAACATCCTGGTGCAAATGCTGGAGAGGCCAATTAGGGACTGTGCGCTTCTTGACCTGCTGCTCACAAACAGCAGGGGAATGTAGTAGTGGATGGCAACTTGGACAGCAGTGACCACAAGATAACTGAGTTCTGGATCCTGAGGAAAGGAAGGAAGGAGAGCATCAGAGTAAGGACCCTGGACTTCAGAAAACCAGACGGCAACTCACTCAGGGAACTGATGGGAAGGATCCTCTGGGAGGCCAGTCCGATGGGGGAGAGGAGTCCAGGAGAGCTGGTTGTATTTTAAAGAAACTGAGGGTTCAGGAATGAACCATCCCAATGTGCAGGAAGACTAGCAAGTATGGCAGAAGACCAGCTTGGCTTAGCAGGGAGCTCTTCAGTGAGGTAAAATACAAAGACAAAGTTTACAAGAAGTGGAAGATTAGACAAACAACTACAGAGGAGTATAAGAGTACTGCTCAGGCAAGCAGGGATGACATCAGGAAGACCAAAGGAAAAGTGGATTTGCAGGTAGCAAGGGATGTGAAGTATGTCAGCAACAAAAGGAAGGTCAGGCAGAGTGGTGGGTCCCTTACTGAATGGAGGAGGCAACCTAGTGACAGACGACAAAGAAAAGCCTGAAGTAACTCAATGTCTTTTTTACCTCAGTCAGCTCCCAGACTACTGCACCTGGCACAACTGTTTGGGAAGTAGGTGAGCAGCCAACAGTGGCAAAAGAACAGGTTAGGGACCATTTGAAAAGCTGGATGTGTACATATCCATGGGTACGAACGTGATGTATCCAAGGGTGCTGAAGGAGTCGGCCAACGTGACTACAGAACCACTGGCCATTACCTTTGAAAACTCATGGCGATTAGGAAAGGTCCCAGATGATTGGAAAAGGGCAAATATAGTGCCCATATTTAAGAAAGGGAAAAAGGAGGATCCAGGGAACTACAGACCAGTCAGTCTTACCTCAGACCCTGGAAAAAACAAACAAACAAACAAACAAACAAAGCAAGGAGCAGATTGTCAAGGAATCCATCTCTAAGCACTTGGAGGAGAAGAAGGTGATTAGGAACAGTCAGCATGGATGACCAACCCAACTGCCTTCTACAATGAGATGACCGGTTCTGCGGATGTGGGAAGAGCAGCAGGCATGATATACCTTGACTTTAGCAAGGCTTTTGATACAACCTCCAACAACATTCTTGCAGACAAGCAAAGGAAGTACTGGTTGGATGAATGGACTGTAAGGTAGACAGAAAACTGGCTAAATCATCAGGCTCAGAGAGTAGTAATCAATGGCTCAATATCTAGTTGAAAGCCTGGATCAAGTTGAGTGCCCCAGGGGTCAGCCCTAGGGCCAATTTTATTCAATATTTTCATCAACCACCTAAAAGATGGCATGGAGTGCATCCTCAGCAAGTTAGCAGATGACATCAAACTGGGGAGTAGCTGATATGCTGGAGGGTAGGGCTAGGATTCAGAGAAAACCTCAACAAATTGAAGGACTGGACCAAAAGAAATCTCAAGAAGGAAGTCCTGCACTTAGGATGGAATAATTCCATGCACTGAGGTGTACAAGCTTGGAATCACCTGGCTAAGCAGCAACTACTTCACAGTCAGGTCGACTAGGATCTGGAACCAACTTCCAAGGGAAGTGGTCCTTGCTCCTACCCCAAAGGTCTTTAAAAGGAGACTAAACAGACACCTAGCCGGAGTCATTTGACCTCAGCATTCTTTCCTGCCCATGGCAGGGGGTCGGACTTGATGATCTGCTCAGGTCCCTTCCAACCCTACCAACTATGAAAAGGACATGGGGGTTACAGTGGACAATAAAAGCTGAAGATGAGCCAGCAGTGTGCCCTTGTTGTGAAGCTGACGACATACAGGGCTGCATTAGTAGGAGCACTGCCAGCAGATTGAGGGAAGTGATTCTTCCCCTCTATTCAGCACTGGTGAGGCCATATCTGGAGTACTGTGTCCAGTTTTGGTCCCCCACTACAGAAAGGATGTGGATAAATTGGAGACAGCCCAGCCAAGGGCAGCAAAAATGGTTCTGGGGGATAGAACACATGACTTCTGAGGAGAAGCTGAGGGAACTGAGCTTATTCAGTCTGGAGGAGACAGAGGGGATTTAATAGCAGCTTTTAACTACCTAACTACCTGAAGGATGTTTAAGTTAAGAAAAGAGGATGAAGCTAGACTGTTTCTCAGGGGTGACAAAACAAGAAGTAGGGGTCTCGAGTTGCAACAAGGGAAGTTTGTTAGATATTAGGAAAAAAACTCTCATGAAGAGGGTGATAAAACATTGGAACAGGCTACCCAGAGTTGTAGAATCTGCATCCTTAGAGGTTTTTAAGACCAAACTGGACACATCTTTGGCTGGGAAGATCTAGTTGGGGATGATGCTTTGAGCAGGAGGTTGGACTAGAGATGAACTCCTGAGATTCCTTCAAACCCTAATTTTCTATGAATCCATGATATATGTTTCTCATTATGTTCTCTGAACATTCAAACCCCAGGTATAGACACTACTAGGGATCTATTTAATTCACAGCCAAAATAATTTTCATGGCAAGGTTGTGGCATGAAGAGCCAATTCCATGGGCATTTCCTGGTGGGCCCACCCTTCACCCCGATTGCTGAAGTAGCAGGATGGGGGGAGAGGGGGAAGGAGGGATAAGGAGGATGGCTGCCATCTTGGCTGCCCTTCATGCAGCCCTGTCAGCCACTGCCTTCTCCTCCCAGGCAGGCTACAAGGTAATGAGGGCCACCAGCTCCCACTGGGGAGTCAGCATTTTATTTTTATCAAGTTTTTTTTTAAAGTTGATTTTGCGGACAATTGTGGATTTGGCAGTCGTTTCCACAAAATCTGCAAAATCGCAAGTTTCTAGACATTACACTTTTACCAGTATAAGTGACTGGAAACTGGTTATACCCTTAACAAAACAGAAGTTCAGCACCCAAAACCCATCTATGCCCAAAACAGAACAAAAGTCAGACACACAAACTGGTTTAAAAATGGCGAAACAAAGTCTAAGATTTGCCTCACCACCAACAGGCGAATGCATATTTCTTTGCTACTGATCTAAACTATACCATTTACATAAAACTGCATAACTCAAATTGATTCCACCTTGGGCTCTTTGAATGTCTGTACCTAGCCAAAATCTGACATTTTAAATCCAAACCATTTTCAGACGTAATTTTCTGTTGACAAAAAAAATTCATTACGCTTCCCACACACAACTCAATTCTGACAGAAATAGATAGATTCCCTTTACATTAATGTTTCATTATTTTGTATTTCAACAAGAATAGCAGCAAAATAGACACTATCCTAAAGGCAAGGGAAGCACCGAAGCAGTGGAAAATCATCTTTTAGGTGTTTGTTCCTCTCTCTGCACATGGACAAAGACCGAATGCCTTAATTTGAAGGTGTTATTAGGGAAAAGTATAAGAGTATCACATGGGCATAGCGAAAAAAAATCAGAAGAAAATCAGGAAGGTCAAGGAAAATAAGGAAGCATGATCTGAGGTGCAGCTAACAATAAAAAAAGGATTCTATTAGTACATCAGACGTAAGAGGCAGAGCAAAGAAAATGTAAGTTCCTTACTGAACGCAAAAGGCAATCTAGTAATGGATGATACAGAAAAGGCTGAAGTATGGGATGCTTTTTATTCAGTCTTCATGAATCAAGTCAGCTACCCAATGACAAGTGTAGCTGTCAGCAAGGACGGGCAGCCTAAAGTAGTGGAAACACAGGTTGGGTACTCCTTCGAGAACCTAGATAGCTTCAAAACAGGAGGCGGAGATGGGATGCACTGGATTACTAAAGGAAACTGGCTGAGGTAATTTCAGAGCTACTGGCTGTCATCTTTGGGATGGCACAGAGGTAAGATACAGGCTGTCCAAGGAGCTTGTGAAATCTCCATGCTTAGAATTTTTAAAAGCAGGTTAGACAAACACTTGACTAGGATGGTTTAGACGAGAATGATTTTGCCTTGAACAGAAGGTTGGAGGTGTCCTCTTGAGATCGTTTGCCACCCTACTTTTCTATGATTCTCATACCTTACAATAGAGAAATAACAGCTATGTATTATTCACATAGAAATAAAAAGTACCGATGGTATTTGATTAAAGGGAGCTCTGGAGGAAAAAAAAACATACCGGAAGTTTCTTCTAGTATAAATTACTAAGCTGCATTCATTAACACCAACAAAAAATGTAGGTGAGCCTGATAGTTCCTTTCCCAACAGACATGAAATGTGGTTTCTGATTACCAGTACAACCTAAATTTTGCCCTTTAAGGTTGTCTACAACACCTCTGTGCCAAGCACAGGAGCATCACCATAAAGCACGCCCTACTCACTTGTTTCACATGCACCGTATCTGGAAATAAGGCTGTGTAATTGCCTTAGACTATCTGTAAGCATGCGACAGTAAATGTGCCCAAGACAGTATCTAGGAGCAGCACTGAGCGAACACACATTCAAGAATGCTCTCATACAGGTACACTGGCTCATTTCCAAAAACTGACATGGCAGGGAGAATGGGAGCAAGCAGGCAGTGAGGGCAGGCAGCCAGGCAGTGAGGATGGCACTCCTGGGTTCTCCATGAACAAAGTTTCTCTGTCCTATGCAATGAAAGATGTGGTTACATGCTATGTTCTCCACATAATTAAAGACTTTATCAGAATGCATATGAAACAGGGACATATAGCCAAAGTTTTTTTGAGTAATGAAATCCTACAGAAAGGAAATAGCAAGGAAGCTGGTTTGCCTACAGACATAAAATGGGTCACCTGCGTGGCCCAGAACAGAAACCAAGTTTCCTAAAGTCCAGTTCTGAACCCTATTTAGAACAGGAGGCAGATGTAGGCAGATTTCTAGAACCATGTTTTAAAATTATTTGACATAAAATTCTTACCTGCAAAAATTCTCTGACATTTGAGCCCAAGACGCGAAGAATTGTGTCATAACCAGATTCCTGACAGAACACGAAAAACATCTTTCCAAACATCTGAAGGATTTCCCCCGCATTTAGGTCTTTTTGAAATAAAAGAAAAATGGACCCGTGTCAATCTGAATTGCTTGTTCTCTGCAAGCCACTTTATCTTTAATTCACATATAGGACAGTATGTAAACTCTGCCTAGACTTAGGAAGCCAAGAGAACTTGGGGCATAAGGTAAGACTCAACAATCAGGTGAATACCTGGCATTGAGTGTTCATCAGGCCACTCTAAGTCACATTTTCCACTTTGTATTTACATAAATGACCGTTTTGTGCAGATATAGATCACCACACAAAAGGTGAAAGAAACTACAGACCCAGATTCATTTACCTCAATCAAGTTACTCCTCATTTACAACACTGTAAGTGAAGCTAAAGTTATGCACTCTGCAGCAACCCAACTTCTGCAGAAGTCATGGGCTTACATGGGACTGCTGGGTTAAAATAACGTCAAGTAAAATAAAATACATGTGATAGGAATAATTCTCCTTTTCTAATTCCAGCTCAGAGCTTTAGAAAATGAAAGTCAATGGACTCCATGTGAAATGAGGTGAGGCATTACAAAAATCAATGCCATATCTAAGCACCCCGTTTAGTAGTCTCAGCAGGGAGGTCAATGACCGAATAATTCTAAAAACTGAGAAGTGGGCAGGGTGGGGAGACACTAGTGTATGTAACAGTGTTCATGTTCTGAAGATAAAATAGATCATTTCAATTTAAAGAGCTAGTAATCTGAAATGTTTAATGAGCACAAAATGTGCTCTCAAGAAATAAAAGGCATAAACTGATTTTAAATAAACACAAAATACAAAGTTCCTCTTTTCTGAGCAAGACTTTTTTTCCCTCACCATAGCCATCCTTACACTTCCTCTCCAGAATCCCATCATCGTATTTCACACTTTGGTGTTTTTATTAATCTCATATACATATATATAATCTATAGTTAATGCATTAAAAAGGATGAATAAATTAGTAATCATGCTACAAAGACATCAGCCTTTGAAAGTAGGTATAATTTCAAAATATATCTTACTCACTAAGGACCTTGCTTGCTGCTGCAACCAGATCATATGTTTTGGAATCATCATAAATTATTCTGACTAAAAACTGTCCTTCTTCATCCAGCTGAGCCTCCTTCCTACAAAGAAACAGAACAGAAATATTTGCATCAAGAGATAATTACATTGTATGCACTGGATACACAAATCAGTAACTTATATTTTAAAATATTATGTTTGTAATACAATATGTTGTTAGATAAAATATGTTTTTGAGCTCCATGTTTAAGAACCTAATTAATGTTCAAATAAACTAGAAAAAAAATCTTTTCCATATTTCACTGTAATTAAGGCTCAGTACAAAACTTTTACTCCTACTCTTATCGTGAAAGGTATAAAAAAGAAATCCCTTTTAACAATGCAAAAATCCCACAGGACTCACTCAGATAATACAGGCAAAGTCTGACATTTTAGAATGTATTATTCTTAATATCCAATAGCTACAAAAAAGTGCAAGAAAAAAAAAGAACCAACAAAAAATAGACAATACATTTCTTCAGAAGATGGTTTTAATTTTCTTTATTTCATAGTTCCCAATCTCCTATTACAGTTTATTTGTAGGCGATATGGACATTTTTAAAGGGCAACATTTTCCAAGATAGATAGCTAAAAGGTATGCTTCGTAAACTTGATTTTCATAAATTTAATAAAAAAGTGCTGACTGAAAAAGGTAATTAAGACTTTTTGCACTACACATCTTCAGAATAGGGATAACACTGCTTTATTTTGTGAGTACTATGCCTAACATAATGGGGTCATGGCCTCTGCTTTAACAAAAATAATAAAGGAATGACAATAACTGGAAAAACAAATCAGTGCTGCTGTTTTATTCTGAGAGCACTCCCTGGATAATACTGAAAAATTTGAACATTTGCAGTGTTAATTTATTTCTATATACCAGGCATTTATATGAAAACTTGGGGTCAGTGGTTCTCAACTTTTTTAGATGCAAGGCATCATTCGTTAGACTCAAGGCTCCCCTGGGAAAATGCCAGCTCTTAGTTTTCACTTGTTTTTTGACTAGAGAAAAATAATAGAGCAATTCTTCTATGGCAAAGAACTCAAAAAACTGCAATAGGTCAGAATGTTTTTCACACTATAGATTCCTATTTGCAATCTTTGTGTTTCTCTTGTGAACCATGTTTGCACACACAATAATGCCAACATTGCATAGCACACCACAGCACCCTTGAAAGAATCTCAAGGCACCGCAGGGTGCCATGTTATGCTGGTTGAGAATCACTACTCTAGGTACACTGGACTCGCATTACGTAACCCAAAAATTAACCCGGTCGATAACCCTTTTCACACGTCATCAGAAACCTTCAATAAATAATAAACATAGCCTATCTGCACCCATGTAACAAATAAAAAATACAAATACAAAATCAGGACACCTTACACTACAAAAGAAAAGGAAATATTGCCTCCATCAAGCCTCTACCTTGCTACCAGCATGGTCACACTAGCAAAAGTATGTGTCAGGTAATATGGCAATTAACATTCAGTATAATCTTTTGATAACAAAGAAAGTTTTCCCTTCCACAGGGTTTGGCAGGTCATGCTACATACTAGGAGAGTGGTGGTGGTGTCCTAGTACATAGCATGAGTATGAGTGGTGGTGGATAGGTCGTTTTCGACCTGGAGGGATGCGAGCAGCGGCTCAGTCCTGGGGCCTATACTGTTCAACATCTTTATCAGCTATCTGGATGCGGGTGTGGAATGTACGCTGTCCAAATTTGCTGACGACACCAAGTTGTGGGGCGAGGTGGGCATGCTGGACGGGAGGGACAGAATCCAACTAGAACTAGGCAGGTTACAGAGGTGGGCGGATGAGAATAGGATGGAATTCAATGCAGACAAGTGCAGGGTACTGCATCAAGGGAGAAGGAACCAGCAACACACCTATAAGCTGGGGAACACCCTTCCTGGCAACACGGTGGCAGAAAGGGATCTTGGAGTCACTGTCAATTCCAAGATGGACACGAGTCGCCAATGTGAGGAAGCAGTCAGTAAGGCTAACTGCACCTTGTCATGCATCTACAAATGTATCACAAGCAGGTCCAGGGAGGTGATCCTTCCCCTCTATGAGGCATTGGTCAGGCCACAGTTGGAGTACTGTGTCCAGGTCTGGGTGCTGCACTTCAAGAGGGATGTGGCTAGCATTGAGAAGGTCCACAGGAGGGCCACTTGTGTGGTCAAGGGGCAGCAGGGCAGGCCCTACTAAGAGAAGTTAAAGGGCCTGAACCTATTCAGCCTCTACAAGAGAAGGCTGAGAGGGGATTTGGTAGCCATTTACAAACTCACCAATGGGGATCAGTGGGAATTGGGGGAGGCTCTGTTCCCCCAGGCACCACCCAGGGTTACTAGGAATAGCGGCCACAAATCGTTAGAGAGAAGGTTCAGGCTGGACATCAGGAGACATTACTTTACGGTTAGGGCTGCCAGGCTCTGGAATGGGCTCCCAAGAGAGGTGGTGCCCTCTCCTACCTTGGCGGTCTTCAAGAAAAGGCTGGACAGATATTTGGCTGAGGCAATATGATCCCGGCACCCGTTCCTGCCTGGGGTAGGGCGTCAGACCTGATGACTTGTTTAGGTCCCTGCCAATCTTAAGTACTATGATACTATGACAGTCTAAGGTTTGCTTCAACTGGTTAACATGAGGGAAAACTACAAAGCAGTGGCAACACATAGGGGGTTCATGCGCACTCCCTGAGCTTGGCAGTACACCCCCTGTAAAAAGGTGCTCCCAACATTGCTGACATCACCTGTGGGCAGTCACTGCTCGCCACCCACCGTGACAGTCCCCAGTCACTGCTGGCTGCTGCTGCCAGTGGCATCTGTAGGTGACTGCTGGTTGGCCTTTGCCTTCCCCTCTCCCCTCTCCCCGCTGCTGATAGCGCCACGGCTGCCTATGGGAGCTCACCACTCGCTGCCACCACGCACCCACTGCCAACAGCGCCACTGCTGCCTGTGAGAGCTCACCGTGCCCCCCAGCCTCTGGGGGCATGTGGAATTCATGCTACAAAGGGCCCTCTCCTCCCTAGGATTTAAGCCTTAGACACCACATTAGCCAACACCAAGAACCTACAGATTTTCATAGTGAAAACAGGATCTTGTTCAAAGCAAGGCTCTTGTCAGTGCATATACCACAGTCAGCTATCCAGGTTGTAGCTGTATTGGTCTAGAGGCAAAAGGAATCAGAACTCATGGTAGAAGTGATATCTTTCATTAGACCAACTAGATTTTTGCAAAAACCCCAAAAAATCTTTATTTGCACATAATGATTTTTTTTGCAAAAATCTCCTTGGTCTAATGAAAGGTACTACCTCTACCATGAGTTTTGATTCCTATATCACATAAAAAAAAACTTCTTACTGATACCAACATGGGAAAACATGGAAAGGGAAACAGACAAGAAAGGAGACTTCCACTTCAGCCTAGGGCTGCTCTGACCCAGCTCAATGTGCTGCAAGGGATCTCCAGGGCAGGGCTAGCCAGCAGGCAGCCCCCGCGCTGAAGCACCCTCATAACCCAAGCCAGCCGGGTTAGTGTCTACACATGTGTTCCTGCCACAAAAACTCCACAGCAGTATACTACTTGTATTTATAAATACTAACCTGCTGTGGAGTTTATTAGTTTCCCGAGGCCTAGTAGATCTGCTCTGTAGCTAGTTAGCCTACTCCTCGAAAAACATCTCATGTAGTCATGCTCACTGTGTGGGTTCAACTGTGCTTTTAAAGCACAGGCTGTTTGAACAATGGAGAGTCATGGGAGGCTCACAGGTTCTTCACTCCCTGAGCTCCTCCTGTTTGCTTCAACTGTGCATAAGGCAACATCCCCTCAGGCTAGTGCAGATGGGTACAACAGGATCATGCTCCTATTGCAAGGCAACAAATACCAACCTGAGAGTGCAGAAGGGGCAGACACAGACCAAGGCCCTGCCATGGATATGCAAAGTTAGGAAAGATTTCTTGCACACTCCCTCCATACATACATGAAAGAGCCAGTCAAAACTTGGCCCATGTTAGAACCCCATTCCTGGGCACTGCTTCTTTGCATATTCACCTCTTCTTATTCAGCTGGGTGAGTTCTGTCCCTGACTGTAGCTATATATCGGAAGTTGAAGTTCTAGCATGTTTCATCTAGATTTGATTTCCCTGCTCTGAGAAGTCAATAGTGACTTGGGTTTGTATTTCTTAGTCTGCAGTTATCCACACTTCCTTTGGGGGTATACTTATTTTTCTCACTTGTTTCTCTTATGTGGTCTCTCCCAAGGTGAGTAACAAAGGAACCTCAAAGTCTCTTGTAAGAACAATGACAAAGGACAAAAAAAATGTATAAGTCCTTATGTGCTTTGATTTGTCTGCACTCCCTCATGCCACCAAAACAAAATATTTTTCAGTGTGGAGGGCCACAACTACCTTCATAAAATATATATTTTTTAAATGTCTTTTATCCAAACACAGTTCAGTATTATAGAGCACTTCAGAAAGATACAAAAGAGCCAGGAAGGCAGAAAAGCTTAGAAGGGGATGAGTGAATCACAGCTTTTCAATGATGAGGAAAAAAAATATCTAGGGGAGGTATTGTTCAGGAAAAGCCTAAGATTTGGACAAAAGCATAAACATGCAAATAAATGAGTTTTTAAAACAATTTTGTAGGTATCATGTGCACCTCCTGAATTACGGGGAGAAAAGAGATATCTGTCATCTCAAAGCTTCAGCCATTATCCCTGTAGCCTACAAACAAAAGGGAGTCATTATTAGGAATGAATTGTAGTAGTCTTGGTATGAATAAAAGGTCTTTATTATCTTGTATCTAGTACAGTTGTAGGAAAGTTTTAAACCAGCTTACTCTTTAATGGCCAGTTCTTCTAAGTGTTCTAAGTTTCTGTTAGACTTTATGCTACATTTTAGTATTTTTTCTTCCTAAAGTTATTATATAAAACCCTGCAATTCCTTTCCCAGGAAAAGTATAATGCATCTTTGTAGCTAACAAAATGATAGTCTACTAATCAAAATAAAATTATGCTTGCCTGCATCTGAGACACTAATTTTCTAGACTCTGTGTCCCCACA